AGCTCAAAATCAGATGCTGTAATAAGGCAGCTCACCATCATCAGGTGTGGTGTAGCGAGCAAATTCTGGGAAGTATTCTTCGATTTTGGACTTCCCTGCCAACACCTTCTCTGCAAGCAGGTCCTGTTTATTTAGGAACAAGATGACAGAAATGGTCCGCAGCCACCTGAGGAAGACGAGAGACTGAAATAAGATCACACTGAAATATAAAACTGTTTCCAAGTGTGAAAAGACAAAGTTCACTCAGCCAAAATAAGCCATAACAGGGGCCAGCAGATAACAGTTCCCTTAGGACTTGCTCAAAGTGTTCTAGCTTCGAAACCATGTTTGATAAATAACTTGCCTACCCTTGAGAGGCTGAAGTGCTGCGAAGGCTTTCTGATTTCCTATGCTGTCAACTTAATCTCGGGATTCAATACAAAACAAACCACAAGTCCACAGGATGACAGGTTTGGCGTCTTTCCTCACCTGTTGTTCCAGATATTCTTGAAGAGGTTGAGGGCCTCCTGTAAACGGTTGGTCTGATTGTCCTCTCGGATCACCATGTTGTAACTGCTACTGGCCACCACAAAGATGATGGCTGTTACGTCTGAGGAAGAGGGAGGAACGGAGATAAATCAGACACCGTGAGAGAAAAGGATACGAGTCAAGGGAAGTGAGAGGAAATAAACACCACTTACCATTAAAGCACTGAATCCATTTCCTGCGCTCATCCCTTTGACCGCCAACATCAAACATACTGTACAGATATAAATGTAAACATGGAAAATGCTGCCATCATGTGGAGAAAATGTATATGTACAGCTGATTTGTGTTTATATCCTCAGACACTGTAGATTACCTTTGAAAGAAACTGTTACTCTTCACCCTTTTTACTTACTGGAAATTAACTTTGTCCACTTGGAATCTCGTCTCAAAGATCCCTGAAGTCAGTACTCTGCACCTCAGCAAATCCTGGTGAACAGGAGTGACAAATGTAACAACAAGGCTTTTATGTGCCAGATTAGAGTGACAAACCTGGAGAAACACTCACACGATACAAATCCAACATATGGAATATTTGGACAATATACTGAATTTCAAAGTGAAAAATAAGAGGATAACACATTTGAGTTTGGCACCAAAGGAGCAAAAACTTTAATATGTGACAGGGACCAAAATGTTAAAGTCCCTTCCTCATAAAATACTATTCAGGGGAAATTGTTGTATAGTTAAATGTAGGATATTATTAACTTTGTAGTGGAAGAAGTTGACCCACCTGATCTGTTGGAGTGTAGTCACTCTGTTTCACAATGTCGATCTTGTCTAGAAAGCTGAAAAGACGAGAGACACAAAAAGGCAAGAGAACAGTTACCGAAGTAATACTATAGACCACACAGTGGTTTCATATTTGTAAGACTTGTACAGGTGTGCTCAAGGAGTCAAATGAGAGAAAAATAAAAAATAAATAAAGAAAACCAACACTGGTATAATACCAGGCATGACTGTGCACTTTTTCCTCCAGCAACACTTAAGTATCATCTCTCAGGTACATCGCCACAGCTGTGGTATTATATGAAATACAAAACCAGTTTGCCAGAGAGGCTGTCCATGTGGTTTTGAGCCCGACATACTGACTGAGACTTAAAGTCTCCAATAGAGAGAGATACCAATAAAACCAACTTTTGAATTTAATTGTATTTTTCTACAGCAGATGACCTTGAAGGTAGAAGCATCCTCACTGCTCACTCAATATGAAGGGAAAACACTGAAGCTGTTGTCCAGTATGCCAAAATGCGTCAATGTGAAAGCAGGGAGTGAGCATAGCTACAAGTGATCATGACAACTCAAAGGGCAGAAGCCTATAGATTCAGGTTACACCCAGCTTGAGGAAACTAAGATCTTATGGAGAAGAGTGCAGTGCATTCGGTAGTTTTAATATGTACAGTATTTAATGTAGCTTTTTCCTCATTTGCAAGAGAAGGTGGGCCTCCTGCAACATCTGCAATTATTTCACATTTGAGTAAAAAGATGACCAAGAAGTGCTATGTTAAAGATCAGAACAAGCCGCAGGCAGCATTCAAACATCTTGCCAATGACAGGAGGTCATCAATATATCATGGAAGACATGGATGAACTAAGAAACAGGAAGAGGAAGTGGACAGTGAGAGAATCTTTGGGATTCTTTGAAGGTCCAAGCAACCACCAGCCCCATCCGGAGAGGGAAGAAAGAAAGAGAGAGGAGAAGAAAAAAAAAAAAAGTGTCCAGAAGGAAAGATGAGAGCACACACAAGAGTGGAAGAGGTAAAGAAACAGAAGGAGAGAGACAGAATGAAGGTGTAGTGGCGTCTGTCTGACATTACAGAGCAGATTTCAAAAATAGCTCCCCAGCCCCCTGGCCTGCAGCACGGTTACCATGGAGACCCAACCACAGGCACTATTAATAGTCTATCAGCACCCAATCTTGTGCAGCTGGAGTAGCACCAGAAAGAAGACAGACTGATGGAGAAAGGGGGAGAAAAAAAAAAAAAAAAAAAGGAGGAGAGAAGAAAAGAAAGAGCAGGATGAGTTTGTGTTGTGTGCAAGGAGGGAGGTGGTGGGATCACAGACTGGACTGTACCACTTGAGTGAGGAAATCAACTTTTTAAAGATCAAACCGATCTAAAGTTCTCAATGACCGGATGCATTATTCACCAGGATGGATTTATTAGTGTATATAAAAAAATAAATTAAAAAAAAAACAGTCGAGACTACAGGGTCATAGTCAAGAGCTGAGCAGCGAAGGTATCCTCCTCAAACATCACCCCCCCCCCCCCCAAGCATCCTCTGATCTGTAGATGACTCAGCCTCCGCCATGTTTGCTCCCAAACCCTGCAAACTGCAGCTGTTACACGACTCCTTCACTATACATTTTCTTTGTGGTTTTACCTGCTTTTGTTTGGAAAAAAATATAAACTGGACAACTCTGACCCATAAAAAATACATTTAGGATCTAGATGTGCATATGTTAATCACTTAACATATGCACATCTAGATTTTAAGATTTCAACCAGTGACTCCTGTCTCAGCTCCCTTTTAAAAGTCATCCACCTTTGTTAGGATGACTCCATACTCCTGACAGGTCATGATAACTTTGCTGTTTTTATTTGTAGCAGATGCAGAGTGCTCCAAGTCTCGTCAGTGATTTTTAGAAGTCCGCAGGTATTTAATGTATCCCAAAAATATGACCCTTTAAGTTTTATTTCAGTGTTTACCAGGACATGAAAACTGCATGTTTAGAAACACCACTCGAAGACTAAGCTGTTTTAATAATAGTGATGCACTGTATCCGTCTTAATTCAGCAAGAGACTCAGTTCCCTTTATGCTGAAGAGCTTTGATATTGTCGGACTTACTCCTAATCGAGATGATTTCTAGCTAGTTTTCCCTCATTAATGCACTGAATCAGCATCGTCAAATCTAATCTTCTCCACTACACAATTGCATGCCAGCATTTTTACATACGACCACACTCGTCATTTACATGTGTAAGGGTGCGTTGGTGCCCGCACATTGGGAAAATTAAAGGGAAAAAGAAGGAGGGCGTTTCTATCTGCTGGGTTGATTTTAAATTAGAGCTTCATGCAACTTTGTTTATAGACTAGCTACTTTACCTCTTTTCCTCAACTTTGAGTCAGTGTGTGTTGTTGAAAACATGCAGTGTGTGGTGAGGGTATGGAGAAGGGTTCAGAAAAACAGAATCAAGTCTTTGTTAAGACTCAAAACAAACATGTCACAGTCAAGTCAAAACATTTGGTTGAGTTGTTCATCTCATAAACTCGAGTATGAGCACCGGTTACAGTAGTGAAGTCCATAACTGTATGTAGAGGTGGTATATGCCGATATTACCTATGAGCTTTCTCCTCTTGATGGGAAATAAACTCTGGATCTCATTGCATTTAGTTTTTTGTTTTTAAAGCACAGTTAATATTATGTAGGGTGCATAGTGCTTCCCTAACGAGTAGATTTTTTGGCAATCTCTTAGGGAGCTAGAGCATTCATACTATCCGGTCTTTAAGTCTGATATTATTAGCCGTTTCTGGGTCCAAGCTACACTTTAGACAAATATAGCAGCATCACAGAGTTACAATTTTGCCTAAATTCTTTCCTCTTTAATAAAATGATCAATGTGACTGCTCTACCAGGTGTAACAATTAGGTTTAACATCCAGGCATTCACCATAATAGAGCTAGCAGGGAGCTACAGATGGAACCATGATCTGATTGAGATTTCTGAAAAAATTAAAACTTACAGCTCTGCTATCACAGCCGACAAAAATGAAGACAGAAAACTAAACAACGATGTTTGCAGGGTTACTGAAGTTGGGCTAGCTGGTATATAATGTTGTTCTATGTCACTGCTAGCTACACAGCTATGGTTTGCATAATATAAACACATTAGTACACTAAAGTTGGAAGATGAATGCCAACTTTTTTCCACTCAATGGAAGATCATGTGATGGTTCCCGATGGTTAGGGATAAATGCAATTGCATATCAGGAAGCTGTAAACAGACTAAACTTCAGTCAGGAGAACAACTGAGATAATCCATTCAAAATATGAGGTTGGTCATTAATATACTACTGCATGGGGCTTTAGTTACATCATAAGGTTTTAAAAGCTGAGCTTTAAAAATGAATAGTGGTAATAAAAGTGACAGAGGTCGACAGTGATCACTGAATTTTTTGTTTTGGGGGGCTTGCTCAGATGACATTGAACAAGATACAAACCAAAACCCAAACCAAAAACAGCCTTAATAAACGCAGAGTAGTTTGGACCTGGAAGCAGGGTTCATACATCATCACTTAACAACCGGATTGACGAGGCTAGGGCTCACATTGCTATCATCTAGTTTTGAGTCCTTAGTTGTCATTTAATCTAAGGAAATAATTTAGCCAGATTTAAGGGAAAATGCACTTTTCTATAATACATGGTCTCATTGCCATATAGGAGTCATGAATTGAAAAAACCCAACTAGTATGCCTTACCTGACATGAAACCGCTTAGTAGCGCACATGCTGGGATCAGGATGAGCATGTCTACCCCAGATTTCACCCTACTTATGCTTTAGTCATAAAACCGGAAGTATTAGAACAAATACGAAAACATACTTTAGTCTCTACTTCTTTGTCAATAATGCAACTGTTCATCCTGCTTGTAACCGGCTTCCAGCAGGACCTGACACCATCTCAAACTGAAAGGAGCCGCTCTGCTATGCAACTTCTAGGATGCCCCAAGTACACAACATTTGCCTCAGATTACTAGTAATAAGCTTCTGTAACTCAAAGCAAACAAAACAATAAATAAAAAAATGACAATTAAAACAACCCCAATGCGAAATCCCTTTGTATGCAAACTACACCAACTATAAGATAACCACACAAAATGGCACCACATGCACAGTATCAATAAAAACTAGAAGTTATCCCTCACAGAATCCTCACATTTATAAATCACGTCACCATGAAGTTGAACTTAAGTTACTTACTACTGTGCACAGTCGATTAGCTGGTACTCATTGGATCTCTCATAGCAAGCCCGGACACCTTCGTCTTGCCACAGTGTCTTTGCGTGATCGTAAAACTCCTGAGAACAAGAAGATTTGGGGGGGGGCAGAGAAGATGAATCATACAGGCAGAACAGGAGAATTGAAGCATCAGCAAAAGTTGGACATTGTCAGTAATCATGCTTATCATGAAATTACAAAAAACAAGTTCTGTGTCACTGCAGTGGAAATGCGAGACAACATTAGAACCACTGCATGATTAAACAGGATTGAGCAACAGCTCATGTGCTTAAACATGTTTCAAAGTAGGCGATTGTGTGTATTCCTTGTGCATGTTACACTGAACATGACATGAAACAGAGGGGGGGGAAGAAAAAGTACAGGGCTGTCTGTTGTCCATGATGTGTATGTGAGGGCACCTCCTGCTCAGCGTTTCTGTTGACACCATATGCAGTGTACGTTGTGCCTGGGCGATGTCTGTGTGCACATCTTTAAAAAGGTAAATAAGGGTGCAGATTCCTCACAGCAGACAGAGACTTTGTGACATGCAGATATCAAATCAATGAAGCATTTATCTTTTTTGCACTCTTAACACCTTTGCCGATTTCATTTTAAGGAAGTAAAAAGTTGCAGAAACAACAGCAACAACACCACCTCTGTGTGTCACTCACTGACCACTTTGAGCACACCCGTTAAACCTGACTTGAACTGTCCGGAGCATTGTACATGCATGCTTCTTAACTGGCTTCATGGTGGCTGGTGGTGTGCTGGATTGCATTGCACGGCATGTTCCCAATATTTTGTCCACTCCATTAACATACATGAAGAAACATTAGGCAATGTCAAGCACTCTGGTACACCACCAGCCACTATGTGAAGCCAGTAACAAAGCTACTTGTCGCTTCTTTAATAACATCAAAAACTGAAAGTGTGCAAGCTTTGTGAAGGTGGAGTTGATGTTTGAACTGTTGCTCAGGCTTACAGTAGATTTTACGAAATGAAGTGGCAACACTATGAGAATCATTGCTATAAAAAGGACCATTTATAACTGCAGCATCCAAACCCTTCATCCTTAAAAAACACGCAATACATATTTAGCACAGTTTTTAAAAATGGATCATTCGGTCTGCTGCTCCTGAACCTCTCATCAATGTCACAGAAACATGGCCATTAGTCAGGTGACTCTGCTCCTAGATTTAAAAAGGAACAAGTTTGATTTCCTTAGAGTCTTCCAATCCCTATGAGCACACTGTTGAGCATTTTGACAAAACCCTGTGTCTCCACATTCCTGATCAGGGAGGTTTTCCTCATGTACAACAGCGTGTTCCCCGTGTGTGTGTGTGTGTGTGTGTGTAGCTATACGCACTGAAGCTACTGAAATTTACTTGTGGCTGTAAGGTGGTAACACCTGTTATTGCTGACATATCACCCCAAAATAACTTAACACAAACAGCACAACTAGTTTTTCCTGCCGATTTAGATGCCCTCTCTAAACACATATTGTATATTCTCCTTCATTACAGCCAAATTCATTATATTGCTCATTTACATTTTTTTTAAATACCAGCATCTGTGCTGTGATATTGACATTTAATATGAGAGATGCTGCTTCTCTTACTGCAGATTTCTAGGCATCACTAGATTGCGATATGAAATATGTGACTGTTTGATCAATAACTGCAGCTAGTTGCCAAACTAAGAAAAAAAAAATCAAATTTGATGCACTCATTTAATGAAAACAAAAAAGTTGGGGGGGGGAATTAAGAGCAGACCAACTGCAGTGACTCAAAAGGTATTTTCTATGTGCAGAGCCATTTTTAGCTCATCTATAAACTAAACAAATGCAGGTCAAATATATCTGGTTTCTCCTACACTACAGGAACAAAGGTATTGAGTCACCTACACGAGCTGTTCAGCCTTGGAAACCCATGCCATGTAGCTCCTGGTGCACAGTTTGTGTGCTGATGTTAATGCCAGAGTTTGGCTGTTACTGAGTCAGCGGAGTGTTAGAGCCTCAGGACTCGACGACCCTGCTCTGCCACTTTGAAGCAGAGTTGCTGTGGTTTCTAAACACTTTGACGTTGCAATAATACTACTTAGAGTTCATGGTGGAATATCTAGGAGGGAAGAGATTTCATGAACTGATTTGCTGCAACAGTACTATCCCTAATATAGCATATTGCTCGAATTCAGCAAACTCTTTAGACTGGCTCTTTCAGCAGTGTTTATAAAGTCAGACTGCATAGCTAGGTGCTTGATTTATACATTTGAATTAGAAATTTAAAGTGTTTACCAAAATCTACATAGTGTACTAGAGTGGGCAATAGACAAACGGCTGTTGCTGCACATAAACACTGGAATTTGCTGTGTGCAGCCATATGTAGGAAGTCATCCAGTATTTACTTAGACAGCAAGTCAACAGCACATTCCTCTATTAATTTACACTATGGGCTGCAGAGATGAGACATTAACAAATTTGTGATTCAAATTGCAAACAAAATTTGCTCTTCACATTTTACAAAATGAAACACTCTCATTCCATAAACTCAGTTAAAGTTAAGAAATCTGACTTGGTAACAATTAGTGCAGCCCTCAAGTCATCATGTAATGGAAAAGTAAATGGGTTGGACTTATCTTATCCCAATCATCCAGCAGGCAGTCTACAATAATGTACCTGACAAAATAAGGATCTCCAATCCTTTTCAATCTGCACTGGATTCAATTCCTCGTCTCCATTAAAGTCCTAAACCGGTTTGACTGTGGTAAACGGCTTTAAACTATTAATGTTGGAATTCACCTGTTCACAAACCTGCATGCGTCACATGTGGGCACGTCCGCCCTCGTAGCTCTTTACAACTTTACCAGCACTCTGCTGAATTAACTGTAATACTCCCTCCTTTAAATTAAAAATGAAATCTAACCTAAACATTTATAGTGGCAGGCGCACAAGGGCACTGTTAAAGCCAGTTTAAAAGCAACTGACTTCCTGCAAACTGATTCCCGTTTCATCCTGATTTACCATTAGTCTTCATTCCGAGATAAATTAATAATGTCACAGTCCTGACTGGAAGTGATGATGTGCCTATGACGCTCACCACCACACACACTTTTCACCATCATGTTTTATAACTTGGAAACTATGCCATGCTTGTCATAAACAAGTCATCCAACCAAACAAGTAAAACGACCATAAACAAATAATTGCTTCCCAACAGCTCAGAATGCGTGTAATTCATTGGGCAGCGGGGTGATTTAGTGGTTGACGAGAGTGGCTCGTAGGTTAAATCTCTCAGATTTGAGTCCTCTGACAGCTGATTTGTCTTAATGAATTGTTGCAGAGTTAGATTTGCTGTCTGCTTACAAACTACAAATCACTCAGGGTAAGAGTGTGAGCTCAGTGCCACTATGTAAATAAATGGGTGTCTGGTGAGGATCGTTACTTGACTGAAACACAGCTGCCCCTTTAGTTTCAATATTTCCCACCCCTACTTATCATTTACGAACTTTATTCAAAATAAACAGAAGTAACAAAAGCTTCTTCTTGAAAAGGTCATACAAGACTGAGTGACCTGAAACCTCAAGCCCAACAGGTGGCTGTAGATAAACACTGACTAATGTCCACACTAACATTTTAGTGTTGAGTGCATAACTTACTTCCCATGCATTGCACTAGCCCTCAAACAGAGACTTTTGCAAATGCTGCTGAGCTCCAGCACTGCAGTGCAGTGCTAACTACTACACCACCAGTGCATGGCGGCATACCAAGTGTCAGTTGTCTTAACATACACATTTTCAAGACGGACAAAGATTCCCAAAAATAATACCACCGTTTCACCTTAAACTGCTATAATCATATTAGTGTAGGTATTGTGCAAACCATCTCTTGGGATAGACAATTAGTCAATGGAAATATCCCGCTGAGAATACCAAACCCACACAGACATTACCAGTGGATTCATTAGTAAACCCCAGTGTCTATAACAGTCTCTGGACACAGTCTTTACCCGTTTCAAGAGATCCTCACCTGTGACACTGGGAGTAATTCCTACCGTGATCTACTGAAGTACAAACACAGCTGAAAAGGCCATGGCCCTGCTACAGATCCATTATACAGACTTTAAAAATAATAACACAAATTTAAATAATAGAAGTCCTAAAAATTTACCTTACACATCTATCCCAATTTCTGAAGCAACCCAACAAACTCAAAGTATATAAGGTCAACTCTACAATTCTTAGTAGAACAAACTGGGGCAATGAACTATGAAAACGTGAGCCATGAGTTCAATTTGAAAGAGTAAAGCTGGAAAATTACTGTCATTATAAAACAGTTCTGAAGATCAAAGCAAGGCAAACAAGAAAAACCGCTAAATAAATTACTTAAAGAAAGCTACATGTCAAAGTGTGGGTTGATATGTATTTGGTGATATATTGCTACTCACAGATGGAAAATCAAAGTCCTTCTGATTGACAAAGTTGAGGATGTATTCAATCCGGCACTGGTTTTCAGGACATGCCAACTGGACAGGTGGGGTTAGGGTACTCATAGCTGTTACTATGGTCTGTAGAAAAGAAACCCAAAGAAAAACGATAAGACAACACGACAGGTTACGGCCGCATTTGTCTAAGCTGCTACTAAACCACCAACAGCACACTTACCTCGATAGCCTCTTTAATATTATTCTTAATGTCCTGGATTTTCTGCTTCTTCTCTCTGAAACAGAAAATGTTCAATGAGAAGCAGTAAATCGCAGAAATACTGCAAATGGCTTCAGAACAGGAAAAAAAGTGCATGCATATAAAAACTGTTTGACTGAGATGAAGTGCTCAAAACATGTAAAACGAGTTCTACTTTTGTCTGCAGGTGATTTGTTATATATAGAAAAAGTTAATATCCTAAAGATTTTGGATATTAATGTTTAGCATTTAACCTGCAATACATTGAGACCACAAATTAACCATAAAACAGCAATAATCTGAAACTGTTAAGAGGGAGCAAAATAGAGTAAATAAAAAGACAAGACATAATTTAGCGTTAAAAAATAATTTAAGGCTAATGGTGACAGAATGATTACATTTGTTTTTTGAACCAGTCGGTGACATTTTGTCAAACAGACAAAACTGCATGATACAAAAGCAACTTCACATCCACTGAAAGAAAACAGCCATTCCCACAGCTTGCACTGCAACTCTGCCTCTCTTCAAACCACTATATTTACATCAAAAACATGTTTAGTTTTGCTATAAAGTATCATTTTAATGAAGCTTAGAGGAAAAAAAAAAGTGTTAGAGTTCCCTCTTACCCTGACCGGGTGCATTACAGTCCACTGTATTAGGTTTGTTTTTGGTTTGTATGGGTAAACAGACCTTCATTGACATGCATGCTAGTGAAATTATGTCTGTCTGCTGTAAATGATAGCTGTGTGTTTGAGACATTTGGACTGACAAAAAAATGTTTCTAATAAAAGGCAACCAGAGAGCCAGTTAGTCTATCTTTCACCTTGAGCCTGCCAGGTCAACAGTACATTGTGTTTACAATAGCTCCATGTCAGTGACAAGGGTGAAACGGTCCCCTTTACAAACTTATCTACACTTAACAGCCACAAATGTATGTATACAGCCAAAGCCATGACACCACAAGCTAACGTCTGTTCACTAGCTTCAATAACTTGGCATTTCTGGCACTCAGTCTTTGTGGTGAAAGAAAAACAAACATATTTTAGAACAAACCACAAGTGAGGTAACTGGAAAGAAAAGAAAAATAAAATGGGGGTAAGAGGAAGAGGTTATGAGGGGAACTGGGAAGGCACATTTACATTTTTAAACTGATAGTCAATGAAGACTGTCACATGGTTGTGTGATCTCTCCAGAGAGACTGCTTCCCTCTGTATGGTTAGAGAGAGATGGACTTAAAGATGCAACATATATGCAGTATGTGCTACAGTGATTGAGTCCAAAAAAACGTGTCCAACAAAAAAGAAAAGCGTTTAGGTGGATGATAGCCCATCTAAAGAGGGTTTGAAATCAATATCAATAACATTCTGTACTCTAGTGTGTTGCACAATATGGATTAATTAATAATCAACTGGCCATCTATACCAGGGGTGTCAAACATGAGGGGTGGTGGCCAGAACGGGGCCAGCAAAGTCCCTCCCCAAAAAAGAGAAAAAACAGACTTGTATGAAACTGAAATTCAGTAAGTTGTAAGAAGCCACATTAAGTTAACATGAAGACTGTATAGAAGTCTCACTTCAGCCCATTTTTAAGCTTGCTGTGTTGGTTTCATGGCCAAGGGGGTGGGGGGATAATAATAAAATGAACTGCTTTGATTCAACTTTAAGGCCCATCATCTGCCCCTCCCCCTCAATAAAAATGTCCCAAATACCCCAGTCCTCATTTTTGCCTACTTTCCAGTTCCAAATGCCTTGCCCAAGGGCAGCTAAGTCACGTTTGTTCAAAGAATATGGAGAGACGAGTCATCCATTCCCCAAATCACGCCGGCAATTGGAACTGCCAGTCTTTCGGTCACGAGACAATTACTCTGACATTACCATGATGCCACAACACTCAATCCATTCACCCCAAAATTATTTTTATCACAGGCCTTATTGAACCCTTTAAGGCTCAAATCAGTATATTATGTCCTGCCTGAGGATGCAGGCAAATTAAAGCACATTATTATGCTTGTCATGTGAAGTCCGTTCTGGAACACCGTTTTGGTTTAAAGAGACCTTCATTGATGAAGGTGATTAATTCCAAAGGTGACGTCTGATCAGACATACACAGACAATAAACCTAACATGAAAGTCCTCCAGTTTACTGCATCTGAGGACAGGAATGAGCCATACAGGTCTCAATAAACACGAGTCACATTTATGACTCCAATGGCACTCTACGGGTTTGTTTCTTAATGAAGACAGATCTCACCCATGCAAGCAGAGACAGACACACTGACACACACTGTTCTGTGTTGTGGAGTCACACACTGGGTCATATGCCCAAGTTTGCCTTAAGTGCTGAAAATCTAGCCTAACCTCGCAAAGATACTTCCATCTTATCAATAAATGACCACCACCAGACCAATACAAACATCTCATTTTACTACTGAAACTGGTTAAGCAAAAGTTAAAGATGTGCTCCCAAAACCACTGAGGAGGGGGGGGGAGAAATGCAACACAAGTGTAGTCTTTAGAGTTTTCACACAGAGGGTTTAATTTGTTAGACCACTCAGCTAGATTAACCCTCAACCAAGTATGCTTGGCGATTCAGTTCAACCCCCCATCCATCAGAGGGAACAACTATCAGTTATATTGTTGGTCACCGTTGGAGTGACCTTAGGAGACCCTGACTGAAACTTGTGCAAGTACTATAAAAGTTCAGCTGCTGGCTAGCTAGCTCCAACTCCCATCTCATGTTCTCCTATCGGAAAGCTGACCAGGACACTGATCTAGTGGTCTTTCATATCATTCAGCCTTCTGGAGATCTCTTGCAAGAGTGCCACTATCCTGATCTTAAAATGAGCAGCATTGCTAACTACTCTTCAACATGGTGGAGCTAGCAGTTGAGGCACTGGAGAACAGCAAATTATTGGAATCATTTATCACAAAGCTGGCTTAATTTTACTTGTAGGTGAGCAGTTTTTAGGGTACTGACTGTCAGTTCTTTAAGCCGGCTTGGGAGCACCTTACCCTTACATGCACGCTTCTCCTTACCTGGGCAGATTTCAAAACTTAAACTAGGCCCAGTCATAGCAGTCAATTTAGCTTTGACCAGAGCTGGTCAACAATGAGTGAGCTAAGTGGCATCATAATGTTTTTACAGAGAATTAGCTCACTAAATAATCGCTTTTAACCAAATCAAAAAATGTCTATAATTTCTGCCAATACTAGCATATCAATAAATTAATTAATAAATTACTTCAATGCTCCAGGGCTATATAATAGAAGATGAAACTACCTTTAGGATTCTATTGCACCATTTTACAACCGAATCAATACAAGTTAGGTCTACTAAAAGTTGACAAAGTATCCCACTATATAGTCAGTTCTCTTCACAGTGAAAAGCCTGCAGGCTGGTCAGCGACCCCTTGGAAACCTCCAGTTGCTAGCACAAAGTGTAAATTTGCCAAATGGTTGGCAAGTGGTTGCTGGCTGTTGCTAGGTCAAAGTAGTTGCAAAGAGGTATACTTGTTTCATTAGAAACTTATGACCATTGACAGAAACTCTTACAGGGGTCTCTGTGGCGCTGAGAGGAGGAGATGTAGATTCAGCCTGGGATAAAAGTCTTCAAACCCACAAGCCAACATGAGCCTCAGACTTAAAAGAGCACTCAGCAGAATGCTGCTCATTCTCAGCCTCACTCTAGTACTCACTCTGCATTGAAGCCGTTGACATGTAGGATCCTCATCTGTTTCACTATGGTGCTCTTTCCCGACTCTCCAGCTCCTGAGAGAGAAAAAGTGAAAATGGATTATGTACCTTACTGATACACTCACATGCACTCAGTGTTGGGATAAAATGGGTGTTTATCTGAAATACCAGTTTACAGTGCAAGTACAACTTCCTTTATGTGGACACAAGCACTGTAGCTCACTACAAGGTTAAAGGTCCCAAACTGTTATGGGTTTGACTGAATAAGTTGCCTGCAAACTGACAATTAGTGCAGTGCCCGCTGTTACAGGCATGTTCGCACCGGTGACATTACTATGAGGTCACAGAGGTGTGAGAACAAGTGCAAATAAGGCCACCAATAAAGCACAACACTAGATTAATATTATCCAAGGGGCCAGAGAACAAAAGAAGACCTTGAGATTCTTTTTTTAAACTACTTCAAATAATGGTCTAATTTTGAATAAAGTATAACATCTTGTTGTGTCTGCCCCTACAATCTCTTACCCTTTAAGCAACTATGACAAAAAACAGAAAGAAAAAAAAAAAAAAAGCCCCAAACCAATTTGAAAGCCGATTTGTGTGTCCTGGGGAGAAAACATGTTAAGGTGTGCACACAAGAGGAATATTCTGATCATTCAATATCACCCGGGACGGGAGACTTCATTCTGCAGCATCACAATGAGTCCCCCCCCCCAAAAAAAAGCCAGCACCAAGAACCATCTGACAAGAACAAGGGGTCCATCAACAGATGCTGTAACCCCCCACAGAGTCCTGATCTCAACACCATGCTCTCAGTTAGACTAAGACTAGCTAAAAGTATAACATATCACAATTCTCCCAAGATACTGCACGAAAAATTTGAATTGTTAAAAAATACACAAATTAAATCCAATTAGGGTTTTTTTGCGTTTGTATTCAGATGTCAACAATACGCTTGTCGTCACTTTATCTGAGCCTGAACCTTACTGTGTAATATTGTATATGTGTGTTATTCATTTTCGTTTCTCATTTCTATTTTAACAGACTGAAATTGATAGCATGCAGCACTACCGGGCCGTTAGTGGTAAGCTGCAGGTTGCCAGATTAATTGCTTGGAACTGCTATAAGAATGAAACTCAGTTTTTGCCCTGTAATGTCAAACCTACAGCATGCAAGGCTACATGAGGAATGAGCAAATTTAGTTACAAGACGCAATGTACACCAAGATGTATGCTTTTCCTTTTTCAGGCCTATTTATATAAAGTTTAATAAAAAAAAATTAAAAAATTAAAAAAAAAGACTAACGTACTTAAGGTAAAGCTTAAAACAGACTTAAGCACAAAGCCACAAGTACATCAGTTTGTTTGATTATTTAATATCTAGAAGATTAAATATTTATTAGGTGATTTTTTTTTAACTATTGCTTGACATGAGTGACTGTTGAAGTAAATGTCTAAATACATAATTACATGTAAAACTTATTGTGGCATTCTACAGTATTACAGCAATACTGAATATTTCAAAGTAAAGTTAAAGGCGTAATAAGTGGCATGTTTGTACAGATGTCATTTATCTTAGGGCTCTTTTCTCCCTCTCTGTCCTACTTTGGACAAATGAAAAAAAAAAAAGTTAACTAAATACATTTCCAAGGTAAAAAGACGAAGTCTAAAGTTAACAAAAAAATAAATAAATAAATAAAAATCACTTAGTCAGCTTTACATTAGCATCATCTGACAGTTTAGGCTGCGATTCCCAGCAATGAAGTGCAACTGTTAGTCAAGCACATCAGAGAAGCCACACAAGTCTGGGACTTGTGCATTTTGATGGCTCAGCTTGCTACAGTATACATCATGAACTCGTAACATCATGAGCTCGACGATAACCGATGACCTCGTGTCACAGTGCTCCCTCCTTCTCTGCCCATTACCCGTCTTTTACCAGACTACATTGTGAAGCAATAAAATAAGGACAAATACTAAAGTACACTTTAGTTTGGAGAATGTTAACCACACAAATTTAAAAAAAAAAAAAAAAAAAAGTAGGTCATATATAGCCAAATGAGTATTATCCAAAATGAAAATACCGACTGACTTTAACACCTTAACAATGGCCTTAAAAAAAAAAGAAAAAAAAAAGGGAACTTTTGCCACATGTCCACAGTGAGCATATCTGCTAGTAGACCCTTTAACATTGGCAGTTCTATCACATTAAATCAGAGAAGATACACCAGAATGTCAGACAACCAGCCAGAAACAGAATGATAGAACAATACTTTGGGCCATTATGTGGCAGGATTGTTGAAGAAAATCAAGATTTTTCTCCAAACAGCACTTCAAGCTGAGTAACACCCTCAGACCAAAACTGGTTCATCCCTAGGACAACACACACACACACACACACGCTAAACAGCATAGTGTATGCAGTGCAGTCAGGAATACTTGGACCTTTAAACAGGACAAACCAAACAACCACCTTACAAATGTTTAACACAACATAGGAGAGCCAGCTCAAGACTCAGCTGTACACTTGTACCTAAAGGAGAAGGACACCAGGGTTCACATTTTCATCCAAGACGGACGGTTTGACAGGGGAGTGAAAGAGGCCACCTAGGTCCACTTTGATTTGTTCATTGTTGAACACCAGCTACCACGACCTACAACACAGTCTCAACAGTCCTTCCCAGGCATTACAATCCCCACTCACACTTTGCCTCAGGTGACCTCAATAGCTCACATGATGGTGGGGTGGGAGATATGATATAAGAAATTTCATACCATGCCCCCAGTGACAGAATGACCCATGCCCTTTTATTTTTTTTAACACTACTGATCATGCGAGATTCCACATGATCAACGTTGGGTCAAGGACCATCTCCAAAGAGACAACCCCAACTAAGGGTTCAATACCTGGGACTGTCAGTCATTTTGGAAGTAAAGAAGCCTCTTGGATAAACTTAAAGCCCAGTTATGTTCTTTTCAAGCATTCAAGACAACCATGATCTGGATGACAGAGAACCTGCAGAAACATGAAATCTAAACTGCCATTAGGCCCTTCACAGCCACAGAAGTCATCAGCACTGAAACTCTTGCAACATTGCTTAAACTAAAACATCAGATTAGCTGCTAATATAGTTGTACGCTAACACAGCATTTAAAAAACAAAACAAAAAACCAAACAAACAAAAAACAACAAAAAGAAAATGCTTGTTCCTTTGTTTTGCAAATACTGTGGTAGCATTAAAGATGCAATTGTTTTTGTCATGGCAAACTCGTTAAATATTGCTTCACATGCAATGTGGCATCTAAAACCTGTTTACATTAACACCCTGAGAATTTAGGATGCTTTTTTATAATGAAGAAGTCTGACAAAAATGCCAAATTAAAATGTAGTAATTTACAGGATTAATGGTGTGCAGCAAAATGTGGTGGGTTCCACGTCAGGAAGCATGACTGTTCATCTGGTGTAGTATCATGATGGACAAGAGCTGAACTGCATCTGGGGCACCCTGCAGTGTTCTGACAGAAAAGCTAGCTTGTGGGGTTGACCAGTATAAGCACAGAGCAATCCAGTAGTCTTTTTGTACTGCTACCCTTCACCCATTGTGTCTTATTTAACAGGTCTCGTTAACATGGACCTATTAAGGCTTTAATTAGACTGGGTGGTTAATCCAATCAAAAGCATACTGAGCAAAACACATAAATGATCTGCAAATTTAAACCTTGTGGGCACGCATGCTCAAAATTTTGCTCTGCCAATAGATGGTCAACATTTGTGTTTTAGCTAGGCTACAATACAAACCGACACTACAAATGCTGAAGACTCTGTTAGGTTGTGTGTCCAGCTTTAACTCGTAGACTCTTTTTGGTCAATTTACTGCCTATCAAGCTGCAGAGATCATCTTATTACCAACAAAGCTAGCACAATGTCTAGTAGCAGGTGTGAACTGAGTGTCCCTTTTTTATGCTTACTTACCTTTGCTCACCCTTTAAAAAAAAAAAAGTTTCCTTAAAGGGTCGCATTTAAATCAAGCTGATATTTTAGATCTGAAAGACCTAAAAATTACAGAAGGTATATTTGTTTTGTCCTTCTCCTTTCCAAAAGTCATCACAACTTCCTCCCTAATGCAAGTAGTGACATGTCATACAATATCCACCCTCAATAGTGATATGTTCAAAACAAATTGACCCCCTCCCCCAAGGGTCCGCCGCAAATTCTTAGAAGTCAAAACCCTGTGAATGGATATACGAGGAGGGTACAGATGAGAGCTTTGCAGGAAACAAAAAAAAAAACACTCTTATATAATGAAAGAGACCCAGCCCACCTAAATTTCACTCACACAACCACATGTTGAGTCTTACACATATTCATTTCTTCATTAACCAAGTTTTGGTGTGCTTTTCTTTGAGTCACATTATCTTATGTTTGGGCAACACACCCACAAACTGGCATGTGATGTAAAGCTTCTGTTAGTTTGGCAAATTTGAGGCCTGCATGCATGATTAGTGCTAGAAATGAGCACTGTTCAGCATGCTGCAAAGTCCCAGTTTAATACAACTGAAAAAGAAAAAGTGTTAAAGAACAAACATACATTACTTAATGATCAATTAGGACAGGCTGGTTCTGATTGATGTTGGTGCTCGTTAATCCTTTAACCACTGCAAGCAGTTTACCCCACCTTACAGGTTTGCCTCACTGCATACTCTAAAACCAGCCAATGGGCTGTGCTACAGCAGGTTTGGGGAGTTAGCATTGCAGAATGACAGTCTGACAGCAACATGCCAAAAACCCAGCACCGTATTGCATTTTTGGCCTTATGCAAGAGCAAAGTCACACTGTTGACAATGTTTCCCCAAAACAACATCCCAGAAAGTTTTGCAGGGAGGAAGCAGGGTCTCAACCGTCCAAACAGAGGCCTTGTCTGTAAAGCAGCAAGCACATAAGATCTGTAAAAATGTGTCAAACTCACCTAGAAGTAGTAGTCTGTGTGTTGCTCTGTAGATCTGTTTGTCCTTTTGGAGCTGCTTCTCTATCTTTTTGTTTGCTTCTCTTTGAGCCTTCTCCTCATTTCTCTGGTCTTCGGTCTTACTGTTGCCCAAACAACCCATCTTCCCGCAAGAAAAAAGAAAAAAGGGGGTCCAGGGGAGGAGGAAGAGGTGGTGGAAGAAGAAGTAGAGGAGGAGGAGGTGGTAGTGGAGGGGGAAGGGAAGGTGGGGGGGTAATGTAGAAAGAAAAATAAATCAGATAAACTAGTCTAGATGCCTCGTTTGACCCGCGGATTTGGCAGCAACGTTACCCACATTTACACCGTTTAAGGTCCGTGGCGCCCCTGTGTAGAGATTTAGAGTCCGTAACGCGTATTTTGCTGTCAGAGAAAGGGCAGGATACTGTTGCTGACGACACGGAGGCCGCCTTCTCAGTTTGCTGAATCCGGCTCGGGCTTTTCCCTTTTATATGCAGTAGTTTGTGTTTCGTTTTTCCAAACTCTTCCCCCCCCCCTTCAGCCGTGTAAGATAAAGACTTGTAATCCACAATGTCCGCTATAAGACCCAAAAACGGCGGTTCACCTCAAACGGAGGCAGAAAAAACAGCCTAATTTGCATCTCCAAAAGCCCGGGTCTTGCGTCTCACAGCTGCCCGTGACAAGGAGCCGAACTCGGCGTGTCCGCAAAGCTCGCCTGTGCTGTAGCGCTGCTCGTTACCACGTCGCTTTTCATGACAAACATTTCCATGGGTGTATACTTAGACTCTATATCTATTTTCTGTCTCCCCGACGGCTGTCTTCGTCGGGGACCCAGCAGGACAGCTGTAAGGAAAATAATATTTACACCCAAACAAGCTACATGTGTGGCATTCTCGCTTCTTCCGTCGTCACCCGGCTCTTTTTCATTCTCTGCATCAAATCAGCCCCAAACTCACTGCGGTTGTCTTTTCGTCTTGATCCCTCGCCACCTCCAAATCCGAAATGATCCAGTATCCCCCCTCCGATTTGTCCTCCTTATATGTGATGGCTGTTCCTTGCTGTTTTCTCCTCCAAAGGGCCTTCTCTCTCTCTGCCCCTCGCTTTTGTTGCTGAAATGTGTTATCAGCCCCTCACATCACCACCAAGCCTCCAAAACTGCGCACCGATAGACTTTTTTTCTTAATTTCTGGCTCGACTCCGATGAATCCCTTCAAAAGAGAGAGGGGGGAAATAATTACAAAAATAAAATAGGAGGGGGACAAAATAACAGAAAAAGAAAACGTGACCAAAGACGTGAAAATCCCTCGAAATGTATCCACGTTTCTTGCAGGTGAAAAAGCTACACCCGCTGTCAGGCTCGGCTTTTATAACCTACATACGGCCTATACATGTGCACACACGCTGTCATACAAACATACATTTATATACACATATGTAGATTCCTCTTGAATCCTAGGTGGGTAAACAGGCTACAGACTTGACACTACATGTGCATTTACATTCACAAAAAGTAGGACGCGGGGCTGTTGTAGCAGCACATTCCCACCGTGAAGGCCGCTCCCCTCCTGGCCGCTGGTCGAGGAAGGTGAAAGACGGGAATACCCGATTCTTGGAGGTTATTATTTTCTCCCTTTCGCTCTTGCTTTCTCTCTCCGAGAATAGTAGCCTACATTGAACAGATAGACAGCGCTTTTAGAGAGACGGGGTGGGGCCACACAACGCTCATTGAACCCTGGGAAGGAAGAACCGAGAGAGGAGGAGGAGGAGGAGAGGCCGCTTCGCCTGGTCACGTGATCCGGGTGCGGAGCCGCGTTAGCGGCGTGGCTGTGCGGAGAGAAAAAAAGGCGCCCTCTTCAAGGAAAAAAGACCTAAGGTGGTTTGTATGCAGGAATAACAGCACAAGACCCCTCTGAGCAGGGCTACTCAAATCTCAGAAGACCACTAGATATGTTCTGTTACAGACATTTATTCACGGAAAAGTACAAGCACATCAGCAGCGAGTTATACTATTAGGAAGACTGGTGCATTAAGTTGCTTTCAAGACATAGGCTTAACACTATTACACCCATTTCTTAAAATCTGCTAAAATAGTTTTCCATAACTCACGATTTAAATAATCATTCTTTATCTTGTGAAATAAGCTGCCCTCACTTTAAGCTAATTCTGACTGGCTTTCTCTTGTAAAGCACGTGAGTGCAACAGGCGCATTCAGAATTTTTTTCATAGGGGTGGCCATATGGGGGCCACTAAAAATATTGGGGTGGCACACCAAAAACAGAAGAGTGCCGGGCGCAGTGGTGGGGAGAGGGTGACATCGTAAGGGACATACAAAGCGACACAAATGACAAAAATAATGCTTCAGCTCACTGTAGGGCACAGGTGTCGAACTCCAGGCCTTGAGGGCCGGTGTCCTGCAGGTTTTAGATGTGCCCTTGAGCCAACACAGCTGATTTAAATGGCTAAATGACCTCCTCAACATGTCTTGAAGTTCTCCAGAAGCCTGGTAATGAACTAATCATTTGATTCAGGTGTGTTGACCCAGGGTGATATCTAAAACCTGCAGAAGACCAGCCCATGAGGCCTGGAATTCGACACCCCTGCTGTAAGGTGTCTTCCTCTCTCTTGCGCTCACATTTATTAAAATTATTACCAACACAGGACCCACCGTGGGGGGGAGGTAACAAATCTTGGGGGGTGGCCAGTGCTGCCCCCTGGCTCCCCATTGGCACACAGCTGTCTGCCTGAGATATCTGTTCTTACTGACATCATATAAAGCCACAAGTAGAAGAAAACTGCGACTGCTTTTGACTTTGCACACACAATGACCTATTTTTTTTTTTTAAAAACTGAGTATTTATTGTTTTAATAGTACTACACGTCAGAGAAAATAAGGGTCTCCTTTAATAACACAGGTGGTGGAACTGTTTGACTACTTACTGTCACTCCATAAATTCATGAGAAAAATAAAACAGCCACGTGCAATATTTTTTTTCCTATAGAATATTGTGAAATATAAGTATCAAGTGGCATACCATGCAAATCTTTAGTGAGGGATGAGGAGTCCCATAGTGTCCTCCAGATAAAAAAACTAAAATCCACATTTTTTATTTAGAAATCGAAGATAATAAAGCCACAGATAAAAGTCACCTGTGGCAGAAGCTGTATTTTCAAACACAAATGAGTAGAGCCAGCTGTGCTGACATTAGCACTCTCTACTCCTAAAAGCTCTGACTGATACATGCCAAAGTGTTCAGCTTCCTCTAGATATCCATTATTTATTGTATAACCTGTAACCAAACCTACACATGTATTCACTTCATATAATATCCCGATCGAGTCCTGGGCGGAGTCTTTATCCCTTCTCCATCTAGATCTAGAGATATCAAATAAAATGTGCTATAGCCTGTGATAGTGGATGTAATCTATCAGTTCTCTGCCATTGGAGCAACACGGCTCTCCTTTACCAATATTAAACACAATACTAAAATACCACAAGTCACAGCCAGCTAATCTAAAGGCTAAATGACTTGGTTAAAGCATGGCTTTGAACTTTTATGTCCTGGTGAACTTTGAAAAGTTAATGTACATGCTTCAAAACAAATGTCTAAGAATCCAGAATCCAAACTGCAGTTAGGACTTTTAGACACTGGGTGGCAGCAGTTTTCAAAATCAGCGAGGCAGGTTTGGGTTTAAGTCAATTGCTTCTGAGTTATCCCCATGACATTCATACACATTTGACTCTGGAGCACACCACACCAAATCAAGTAACAGTATTTACAACATTTTTGAGTTTTGGATTGTTAATTGCTGTTCATTTTGTATTCTCTGTTTGCTTTTGTTCCTTGAGTTTTGCTTTGAACCGTCATTTTAGAGTTCAGATTTTCTTTACCTCTTACTTTGCATTATTTATTTTTGTTACTTTATTCTAGTGCAGTCTAGGCTCCCTAGTTACATCTTGAACCTTTTTAAGTGTTTGTCTCTATTCTGTTCCCTTTCATCTACTTCCTGTTTTATTTTATTAATCCTCTGTGTCTTTTGCATTGCTAGTACAGGTAGTTTTAATTCCTTTTGTTAATCCCTTAATTAGTTACAGCTGCGCCTTGTTACCCTGGTGTTTCCAGTCTCCCCGATGTCTGCCTGTTGGTCTCAGAAGTCTGCATTTGGGTGCATAATCTGCACTTTCTTGACAAAAATTAAATAAACAGATTAAGTTTTAGATGTACATTTACGTTTCAACGTAAAAGTCACAATTTTATTGTACACATTTTTAAAAAACTGCTATTTTTTGAGTAAGTGAATCATATTAAACATACTGAAAAATATCTAAGCCGTTTTCACTGGCTTCCTTCTTTCTACTGATTTAAAACTAGAACCATGAAACTTTACCAAGATGTACTCCATGACCATGTGGTAGCCTTTGGTAGTGAGTCCGTTGCAGACTGGGAGCTCTTTAAAAATATTTTGTCAAATTCCCTGAGGAGAAGCCTACCATCTGTTCAAGTGCAATACAAAAAAAAAAGCCGCGCCACACCTTTTTGTTTTGACAACCATCTCTTTGAGTATGCTAAAAGTCTAAAACATGTGAAATCAAGTTGTGACTTCAAACTTGAAATCAATCACAATCTCCTGTTAACTGTGTCCCCATTCATTTGAGTCACTAACTGCAAACTAATAGTATATATACCACATGTTGTTAGTGTTTAGTGTTAAAACTGGGGTAGGCATATTGCTTTGCATGTCACTGGAGAAAGAACTCACAATAACTTTTGTCATATTGTAATACAAATAGTCTAAAAGAGAACTAGACTCCTCCACCTTTTCTCTGTCCAGTTTTTCACACCATATCATGCGGGGAATATAAACTAGAATAAAGGCAGGATCTGCACGGTCCTATAGGTCCATTAGTCCTTGGACAAATGCACAGTTTCTTGTAGTTTTTTCTCCCTGCACCACCACCCTGATTTTAGATCAAACAATCAAGATATGATCTAATTGCAGCGTTTCAATTTTAATTCAAGGGATTGAACAAAAGCATTGAGTTAACTTTTAAGGTGCTAAAGTATTTTTATACATAGTCACCAATTTTCAGAGGCTCAATACTATTTGGACAGTTGACTGACAAGCAACTGGTTGATAAAACATCTGGAAATGATACAGATTCAAACTTGTATTTGTTAGCTGTTCACTGGAATTCTCAATATTTGACTTACAAAGAGATGTCAGTGCAAGTGCCCATCCTCATGTGGGCTGAAACAAGTAAACCTATCAGAGAGACAGCAAAAACCTTCAGGAATAACCAAATCATGATCTAGTACATTATTTAAAAGAAGGAAGCCAAGCAAAGTATAGAGAAGGAAAGAAATAGCCCCTGATGCTAAGCATGTGACCAAACATGGTGGAGGTAATGTTGAATGGAACCAGGTCACTAGTATGTATTGATGGTGTGACTGCAGATAGAGGTAGCAAGATGAATTATGTAATTAAGTGTACAGGGTTACACTTTCTACTCAGATTCAGCCACAAAACTGGCCAGAGAGCGCTTCACAATGGAAATGGATAGTGATCCAAAAAGCATACTGTACAAGCAACGCAAGAGCCTCTCAAAACAAACAAATAACCAAAAATGGGCTGGTCTTTAATAGCCAAGTCAGTCACCTGATTTCAAGCAAAAAGACAAAACTGAAGCAGACAGACCTACAAACAAAGGCCTAGTCTGTCAAAATCAGCATTTGGTGATGTCCATAGTTTCTAAACTTCAGGCAGTCATTGACTGGAATAGATTTTCATCCAAATTCTTATATTTAAAATGAATGTAGCTTGTTTACTTAATTTTGACCCTCTGATAATATGTGACTATGTATAAAAATGACTATAGCTGCTAACCAGTTAATACACCATATCTTTTAAATCCCCTTGAATTAAAGCTGAAAGTCCACACTTCAACCAGATCCTGATTCCTTTATTTAAAATCCACAGTCATACTGTACTGAAGCAAAAGTACAAACACTGCTTCACTGTCCAAAAACCGAAATGTCTCTGTATAATGCAGCCTTAATATCAAGGCAGGTGTGGGTTTATTTGTATTTTTAAGGCGGTAGAGTGAAGTGCATCAGTGATGTATGCTGGCAAATGATCTGTAAATGTTAGAGGAACTGAAGTGAGACTGTTCCCGGCAACAGATCAATATTGGCTCAACACCCATCGAAACCAGGGTGCTAAACTCAGAGAGTAAAACTCACTTTGAGTCAGAGTGCCATTTCTACCGATTTCTGTGCACGTCCTCTTGCGCACATGCTGAGCATGAATTATTATTCTGATCTTAAAACTAAAACCTAAGAAAGGTGAGAACATCTCAAATATATTTTCCTATCTCTTAAATAGCTAAAGACACATGCACACTCACATGCACTCACATCCCCACCCAGGAACCTTCTAGGGCATGTCCGATGGCATCTCTTTCTAACTGCACTGTCATGAAATGTTAGCTGCACACTCAGCACTCATTGTCATCATGATCAATTTAGATTTACTGCTGAGGAGTAATTCAACCTTTTTTTTTTTCTTTCTTTCTTTCTTTTTTTTTTTTTTTTTACACTGTGTGCTTATCTGCACACATCTAAATATCTATAAACATACACAAAAGGGATTTATTACTATAGCTTGGTGTTGTAATGTAACGACAATTTAAAAGTTAGATGTTAAGCATTAACTGTAAGCATTGTCAAAAATCCCTCCACCATTCTCCTGTCTGGCTGCAAGAGATCCCACTACCACATTGTTAACAAAACACTTCATTTTATACAGCTGATATTTTCATTATTGGTTATTGCTTAGTCCATAAATTAAAAAAAAAAAAGGTCCAATACAATTTCCTAGAGAGGTGGCATCTCTTTTGTCTGAACACTCAAATGCCCTTATTTGAATCTTTACCATGTAAAATAAAGAAAAGGAAAGTTTAAAGTTTGCTTGAAAAAACAACTTGAGTGATTATTTAAAGACCAAAATGTGACCTCTATTCACAAGTATCATTTCTGCTGCTTTGCTTTACACAGAGAAAATAAGATTCACACTCAGTACCCCGCTAAAACTCAGAGGATGCTGTATGAATTTGATTAAAATATCACACATAGATTGACCTGCTATACAAAGTGTTGATTCCTTGCAATATATAAACAAGAAGAAAACTGTGACATTTTAGGACAACAACTACTACTTTTAATGTTTTAAGTTATCTTTTTTTATTTAAGAAGCTGGTATTTCTTTTTTTTCCCGTTCTTATACACAGCAAATTCCTGCATTCCTGCAAATCCTTAAACTTTACAATACTGCAATTTAAATTAAATGAACATAATTTTACACTACATAATGCATAAACTCTGTTGCTTCCTCAAACCTGTGCCACGGTTAATTAAATGCTAATAAAGTGCTTTTCCAGTCTCACTCTACTAATAGTCCTGGAAGAGGCTATTTTAACACATTTACATTATTTATGTTGCCAAAACTATCATTTGAAACACAAAAAGATCATACTGGATTTTTCTCCCCCAGCCTTTCTCTTATATTTAGAACAAAGTTAATGTTATTGCATTGTAAGTCCTTGCATTGATCATCCCTCTGTAGTCACACCAGCTCTTTAATGGCCTCACATCCATGAATATTAGATACACTTCCCTTCACCCCTCAGTGCAAATATGATGAGCCAGCCTGACGCGGCTTTAAGGAAACAAACAACGAGATATGAGAGTATCTGTATGGGTTTCACATATATCAGATAGAGAAGATTCTGGGATACACTAGTTCGAATACAATGAAAGAATGAAGGCATGGATGCAACTTGCACATGCAGAAACTTATAATACTCCCCAATGACATCTTTCAGCAGAGTCACACAAAAATCACTGCTGCACTTTGGTGTTCGTCTGCTTTTGTGTAATTCTGCAAGCGTGTTTTACAGTGAAGCAACGATAGTGGATATTCTCCTGAGTGAGATTAGCTACAATATGAGGATAATAACAGAGATGCTGGGTTACAACCCATTATGTCTGGGAGAGAGACAGAGAGCGAGAAAGGGAAAGAAGAGGGAGGTGAGGAGGAGGCGGAAAGGAGGGTGTGACAGAAACACAAGCGAAGAGCAAAGGGAGTCATTATCCGCACACAATATTTGAATCTGCTGTGTTTTTTAATCGCACTGCTTCTCGTCCTCGTGTTATTTTTTTCTTTGCTGTACTATAAGATACTTTGATTGAGGCAACACGAGTTCTCTTCTTACAAATATGTGAGCGGGCTGGAATTTCCCTCCACATAACTAAGTCACTTACTTATTTATGCGGACATCCAGCGAGTGAGAGCATCTGAAGGAGCAGTTTGGGTGTCTCTGACACACAGAGGAGGACATGGCGGGGGACCTTGTGGTTGGGATGCTGTATAACTTGTTACTACCCCTGCTCCTGCTCACTGGTGAGTTGATGTCTGTATGTTTATTTAATTTTTATTTATTTTTACTGCTGGTGTTGGTGGTTTTGTCCGGAGATAGTGGGGTTTATAGGGATATGTAATAGACGCGGTTTCAGATTTTTGGGTGTAAAAGTTTACATGGCAAGAATCTTCAGGTGTTTACTAAAGGTTGCATATCGTTAACACAGCATAAGTTGGGTAAAAGCTACTGGTGAACCCTTGTTGCAGCATATTATCGAGACACAAAAACAATTTGTGAGAAGCAATGTGCTGCCAGATTAAACCTGAGGTAGACCGTGCTGATGAAAAACAGTTACTCCTATCTGAGCAGTATTTCTGTACCCACCATCGTGTAAACTGTTTAAGTGAAACATGCACATAACGGCCCTATGTGCTACAGGGTAAGGTTAACACTTAACCTGTGCTTGCTGCTTAGGAGCATTTTGATTATCATTTGTTGGTATTTCTGCTGGCATAAATGTTCTCATTTTGCTGTTATAATGTTGTTTAAAATGAATGTATCATATTTGAGGTTAGGTATGAGGTAGTCAGTATTAAGCAATATTCTTTAAGATTCTAACAAATCATCCAGCAGCAGTACCAAAATATTAGCTGAATTATAGGGCTTTTTTAAATTAGTTAACTAAATTAATATTTATTCCTGTTCCAAAATATTTTAGGTCTACTTGTTGAACTCAGGTCTTTTCCAGCATAGAGCAAACCAATCGAAAACCATCAGCATCTTTAATCGGCTTTGTTAACTAAGGTTTCCTTGCTAAAACAAATATAATGGCTTATATTAATGGTAATAACAGCTTACCAGGGATTTTTCCTACACATAAGAAATCACCCCGGAAGTGTGTAACCTTTTTTTTAAAAACAACTTTAGGTTGGGGTTAATTTAATTATGCATAAAGTGCACCTTTGCTTATCAAATGGGCAAGAATAACAGGAAAATGATAGGGCTTCTGTTAAGTAGTATACACTCAGTGCTGTTACTATAAGCAGAGTAGTCATACTGATGTGGATAGACAACCCAGAACAACCCTTTCAGCCAGGTTTTATAAATTGTTATACTATAAAAAAAAAATCAAAGGTATACTAGACACAGTTTATTCTTTTAGCCTTTGTTTCATTATGTGTGTTTTACTGTTGCGATGTGTACCTGCTACCTTAGATGAAACATTACGAGTATTTTAGAGTTTACATAATAATTAACATTAAAAAGAAGCATGCTGTGCCTTATAAAAAATACTCTTTTTCTTTGAATTTCTCTCAGACCCATTGTGTTTTTTCCCCTCTGCTTCTCAGCTTCATCTTTCCGCTATAATGGTCTTTCACTGGTATATTTCCTGTTTTTGCTCATCTTACCGCTGCTGCCGAACCCGAGTCTGGTCACCATGAAAGGTGAGAGGGGCTCCAGAGGCTAATGATGTCATCTGGCATGTTGTTGCTCTGATTCATAATGTAAAGGTCTTGGTTCAAACTTGATTCAAATCTAAACAACATCAGTGATTCAGTCTTTTTTGCCTGAACTTTAAGCTTATAAGATTATTCCAGCATGTACCAGGTAATTGTAGAAAAACAATGTTCATTTCCTACAATCGTGGGTTAGAGAAAATGCTTTCACTTTAAGAAACATTTCTTGTGATGTGTTGTATAAAATTTGCGGTTCCACATATTTGTACACCAAATGCTCTGTGGCGTTCAAACCTAATATTGATCTGGCATCTTATTTTAACGATTAAAATGTGTGGTTAGAACTGATAAAAATTAAGATACATTTTTAGAAATTTAGAATTAGCTTCATGACCCTGACGTCATTCACTCACCTTCTTTCTTGTGGCTTCTTTTAATTTTGGCATATTGAGGCCGTTTAGTCAGTTCATGCTTCTGTTCAATTCAGGCGATGATTCGATGGAACAGGACATCCACAGTTATACAGTCTCTGTGTGACAAATCATACTCCAAACAATTATCAGTGCTTTGAGGTTTGGGCAAATACTTTTTTGTTTTCGCAAGGTCAGGCTGGTATTACTTGATCATTATATATAAATTCATATAACTAGGAATTTATATATTTGCTTATTTTAATTTAGTCTCTATCTTAACTGCTTTTTGCATTGTTTTTTATGCCATTTAATTTTTTTAATTTATTTTACGCTAATTTATGTACAGTTTTGTGATGTTACTTACCTACTTATCATTTCAAGCTTGTATTTTGTGTTTTCGCTGGTTGCCTTTCCCTTTTTTAAAACTTAGTTTAAAGAGCAGACAGTTTCACATGACGTATGTGCAAAAATAGGAGAAATCAAGTAATCTGATGTGAAGTAAAAGAAATGTAAAGACCAGCGCAAGTAAATCAACCTGTGTGCGATGTATATATGTCTACAGCATGTGTGTGTGTCTGCCTTCTCTGTATTGATCACAGCATTCTGATGAATTAAAGTATATGTATCCCTCCCTCAAAGTACTTTGTAAAGGGGAAGTGGTTTGAATGGTCAAATCAATTATACATAGCCTGGTAATTACAGCAAGGAATTAAAAGATGTAATGTCAGCATTTTCACAGCATTTCTTCTTTCGCTCTTTTTCTATGCCTCCATATAAAAACTGTTTACCCTTCAGCTTCATAAATCCCCCTGCTATAATCTTACTGCGCTTGGACTAAGTGGTGAAGCCTGTGTACATCGTGTGTGTACGGCTCATGCGTTTCTGTGTACCCACCTATGCTGGAGAGAGTGTGTACGTGTGTGTTTTATGAAACAATGCTTTTAGTAAAAAGCGTGAACATCGACAACGCATTTGCTGGCTCAGCTAATGCTAAGCCACGTCAGCTATTAATGCTTTGTATCTCCAACCTTTTGATTACAAGAACTCTAGCCCTGAGACTATGAACTGTTTTATTTATTTGAATATACAGCCAAAATCGCAACACAGCAACTCACTTTTAGACTGTCATTAATATCTTTAATGACAGTCTAAAAGATAATAAATTCGGAACTTGTGCAAATAATGTTGTGACGCGAATGTGATTTCAAAAATAGTGCCACAAAGCGATTTCATTGGATAAATAGCTGTACCAGACCAGTCGTGACAGAGCCAGGCGTTTCTTTGAGACTTGAGCGTCCAGTTTCTTTTAAAGAAACTGAAGTATGAACAGAACCAGTCCAATTTACTGCCAAGTGTCTGGGAGACAATATTCTGCTGAACAAGGTCTGAAGAGAACCACAGGATGCATCCATTACTGTGTGTTTTTGTGTATATGTGTCCCAGAACTCAGAGAGTAACATGCCGGCTTTATTTAAGGGGAATAAAAATGATTATTGAGTTGAACAGGAGACAACAAAACACGTGGTGTACAGCAAAGATAAAAGCAACTTCTATTTTTATTGAAACCTACTTTTCTCTGCAACTACACCTGTGGAATTAATCCTACTTAATTTCAGATACAATTCTGGCTTCCAACAATTATAGAACAATATAATAGATTAAAAAAACTATTGCATAATATTCTGTTTTGCAACAGTTTGCTTGCTTTGCCTTTCAGGATATCTCTTTCTTTGACTTTTGTTTCTCTATAAAGTTTATACCAGGGTGTCACAGATTTAGTCCTGCTCACATTTATATACATATTCATCTTTTATATTTGAATTACGGTTAAAGTTTGAAGAAAGTTGAATTGACTCAGTATTTTCAGTCTATGAATAATTGTGTTAGTTATTTGTGATTTCATAATAGATAAAAATAATAGATTTTGTCCTAATTTCATAAAGTTTTCTTGGTAACATTTAGAGGGAGAGAAATTGCTAATTATTAAAGATTAAAACATCAAAGTCATACCTCGGGACCTTTTCTATCAACATATATAGTGAAATACATCATTTGTTTCCTCGAGAGACAAATTTTGTATTTTTCCCTCTGTAATTCACCACAATGGATTTTAAATCAAACAATCACGATGCAATTGAAGATTTTCACCTTCAATTCAAAGGGTTGGAAAAAGCGTGTATAGTTGTATCATTGTTGAGGTCTGCAATAAAGAGACACCTTCATAAATGGAAATACAAAGAATTTACAAAAAGATGCAAACCACAGGTTACAATGAAGAACAAGAGGGCAATGTTGCACGAAAACATCTAAAACAGCCTGAACAGCTCTGGGGAAACAAAATCCTCGGACAGATGAAGCCAAGATTAACTTGTACCAGAATGATGGGGAGAGTAAGACGTGGAGCAGAAGACAAACTGCTCCAGCATACCACATTACAGTGGCTTGCAAAAGTATTTGCCCCCCTTGAACTTTTCCACATTTTGTCACATTACAGCCACAAACATGAATCAATTTTATTGGAATTCCACGTGAAAGACCAA